CCCTAAAATTCTAACTGCAGCGGAGGGGTAAGAATATTTCAAGCCCTAGTAATACAGATCAACTTGGAAGCTTCAGATAGGAAAAGCTTAGGATAGTGTTTGCTACATAGTTATTTATTTTTAACTAAGCATGTAACTTATAGGTATCTTCCTGGCATGGAACATGGATCACTGCAGCCCGGAACTCCTGGGCTCAAGTGATCCTCCCATCTCAGCCTCCTGAGTAGCTGGGACTGCAGTCGTGTGTCACCACACCAGCTAATTTTTCTCATTTTTTGTAGAGAGGGGATCTCAATATGTTGCCCAAGCATTATGGATTTTATGCATTAGGGATCAACCCATGCTTAAAGCATGACAGAACCTGGTGGCATATTTTTCTCTTCCCCAGCTTTCAGCACAGGGTCCCCTCACCAGCAGGCCACGGTCAGGGCTCTGTACAGACAGTGGCTGCAGAGTAAAAACACTTCTATTTATGGGGGGCAAGGGCGAGGAGAGGAAGAAAGGAGCAGCAAAAGAGGAGAAGTGGCCACATGTATTTTGTTTTGTTTTTTGTTTTTCGTTACATGCACTTTTGAAAGTGTTTAGAAGCAGCCTCTCCTACATCCCCTGGTGTAGCTTGTCTCCTAGCTCTGTGAGGTGAGTTATCCAGTACACTCTAACATAAAAATGACCTTCAGACAGACAGACACACACACACACACACAGGAAACATCTCTGCCATCCACTTTTTCTTTTTTTCTGGTCCCAGACCCTCGATTCGCTCTTAAAAAATGACTATTGTGAAGATAATGTAACAACACAGAGTAATGCTAATGACAAATTATCAAAAAATTAAAAAAACAAAGTAAAATCGTTATTAGTGTTTTTAAAATGACGTAACTATGGGGAAAAAAACTCAAATGCCAACAATAGTTATTATGTATGACCTTTTTGCTCATATTTCCAAAACGTTTATAACATACATAATTTTAAGAGAAAAATAATTTTGAAAATACATATCTGAAAATGAAACCCCGCTGTTTCCAACGGCCAGCTGATTCTGGCTTAATCTGATTTTTCGCAGCTGTAGCAGTTTTGAAAACCTCAGTCCTTTTATTGAGGGAAGGAAGAGATGGGAGGGGTAGAAAGGGCGGTGGTTATTCCCCAGTCTTTCGATCCGGTCACACAACCTAAATCCAACATCTGCATCACATGTCTCCCGAAATCCTCTCCCTAAAATGACAACCTGGCCAGGCGGACAGAAAGGCCCCAGCGCATTTGCAAGGATCCTGCGGGGCCTGCCACGCAGAGAGCGTGCGGGTCTCAGGGAGCTGCCGGGTCCGCCAGGCCCCGCCCCCGGCCATTCAGGCCCCGCCCCCACCCACCCGGCCCCGCCCCGGCCCCCGCCGTCACGTGACCGGGCGCTGGGTCCAGCCTGTTGCTGATGCTGCCGGGCGGTACTCGTTATGGAGCTGGCGCTGCGGAGCTCTCCCGTCCCGCGGTGGCTGCCGCTGCTGCTGCTGCCGCTGCTGCTGGGCCTGAGCGCAGGTAGGTTCGAGCAAGAGGCGCGCCGACTGCCGTACCTCTTTTTACTCCAGGCGTGAGAGTTCGTTAGCGGGTTTGTGCTTTTAAAACAACATCTGTTTTCCCGGTTCTTACCTTGTGTAATTACATTGCTTTTGAATCTCTTTTCTGTTTCTCTAAAAAAGTCAAAGTGCTTTTTCTACCCTTTTCTGGCTCTGGGTGGTCTGAGTGCCTGCGTTCTCTGCTACGCCTAGATAGAAGCAGTGTGCAGAAATGTGATTTGCGGAAACTGCTGGTCAATGAGGTTTCCCCGATTCAAAGGCCTCCTCCCTTTTCCTGCCGCAATTGGCTGCTAAATGAAGTTAAAAGGTCATTTTATTTTGAGCTGAAATCTACGGTTAGAAGTACCCTTAAATCCTACCACGAATGGGACATTTCATTGAGATAAGGCCCTTTCTTCTCCTCTTGATCAAAACAAACAAGATAACATCCTCCTCCACCTATCTCTTTTTGGCAGAAAAACAGATTTGTGTTTAATAGGATGACTTGCAAATTGATTTTCATTCGTTCAGCAAAACCTCTCCTAGTCTGAAGCAAGAACTGAGAATTGGAATTTGCCTTGTGACCTTAGGCAAGTTGTTGAACAGTTTTGTTTTCCCGTTTGTAAAATGGGGATCATCTGGTCCTTTGTCGAGCGTCTGGGAGATGTTGTAAAATAAGTTGCTCTGCCACTTTTACCAACAGTCACTGCCAGGGAAGGGTGAAGTGCCTGGGCTGAGGTCAAAAGGGACCTGCACCTTATCTGTTATTCTCTTTTTTTTCTCTCTCTCTTATCTGTTATTCTCAAGGGAGCTCAGCCTTATCTGTTATTGTCAAGGAGGATGTAATAGTGTGTTACTTGTACACAGAACCTTATAGCTAAGTCTGTAATGTTTTAGCCATCTGTTTTGCTTCTCAGGAGATACTTCGTGGTTTTCTTAATCTCCATTCTTGTCTTGTTTTGAGTCAGGGTCTCGCTATGTTGCCCAGGCTGATCTGGAACTTCCTGACTCAAGTGATCTTCCTACCTCAGCATCCCAAGTAGCTGGGACTGCAGACACAGGCCACCACCCTGGCTCTTTCTTATTTAAAGATGTCTTCCCTACTCCTGTCTCTTGGCTGTTGGGACCAGTGCTCCCAGAGCCACTGGTTTTACGATATAAAAATGAGTGGGGCTTGAAATTTGAGAAGGGAGGAAGTAGAAGGCAGAAAACTCCAGTCACTGAGGGCATCCCTCCCATCATCTTTTAACATCAGCCCTTCTACATTTTTTTTCTACATTTTTTTTCTCCTGCCTCCAGAGGAAAAAAAAAGATGCTCTAACTTGGAAATTGTTACTTTAACAAAAAGTGACAAGGAAAATGGATTTAGCCTACTCTTTTCTAATACATATTTTGTAGATGCTAGAAACATTAACTAAAGAAAATTGGAAGGCCGGGCGCGGTGACTCAAGCCTGTAATCCCAGCACTTTGGGAGGCCGAGGCGGGTGGATCACGAGGTCAAGAGATCGAGACCATCCTGGTCAACATGGTGAAACCCCGTCTCTACTAAAAACTACAAAAAATTAGCTGGGCATGGTGGCACATGCCTGTAATCCCAGCTACTCAGGAGGCTGAGGCAGGAGAATTGCCTGAACCCAGGAGGCGGAGGTTGCGGTGAGCCGAGATCGCGCCATTGCACTCCAGCCTGGGTAACATGAGTGAAACTCCGTCTAAAAAAAAAAAAAAAGAAAATTGGAGTTGGGGGATTATAGGATACTTATATTAGAACACACATACACACGCATATATCCTTCAATTTAAAACATTTGTCTACCTCAGTTAGGAATATTGCCCTTTTTCATATTTGTTGTAGCTCTCTCATTGCTGTTTGCCTTTTTATTTTTGATGTACAGAATTTTTGTTGTATAGTAACTTAACAGGTTTCTGTTCTCACGGCCATTGAAATTTCTTTTTTACAGTCTCTGGGGTTTGCTTAGATTCTTTCCTCATCCAGACATCAGAAAAATATTCAACTATATTTTTGTATTATTTTTAATGTTTAAATTTTAAAATGTAAATACTTGATCCACATGGAACTTATTTTGTTTATAGTGTTGATAGGACCTAAATTTCTCTTTTTTTTCTCCCAAAAAGGTGATACATTGAATAGCCTCAGCCCCACTAATTTGTGATGTTTCTTTACTGGTATTTTTTGTTTGTTTGTTTTTTTGAGACATTGTCACCTAGACTGGAGTGCAGTGCTGTGATCACAGCTCACTGCAGCCTCAACCTACCAGACTCATGTGATTCTCCTACCTCAGTCTCCTGAGTAGCTGGGACCACAGGCATATGCCATGACACCCAGCTAATTTTTGTATTTTTTTGTAGACTTGGGGTTTTGCTATGTTGCTTAGATTGGTTTTGAACTCCTGTGCAGAAGCTGTCAGCCTGTCTTGGCCTCCCAAAGTGTTGGGATTACAGGAGTGAGCCACCAAGCCTGGCCTCTTATTCATGTATTAAATACGATATAAAAACCAGTATATTGCATTTTGGGATTTTTACTTTTTTCCTCAAAATATGAATATCTCTCTTGTTTTTACAGAATTATAGAAGTGTTTCATGGTTATTGTTAAAAATCCAAACATTACAGAAAGGTGTAGATGAAAGCCCGTGACCTCCTATCCCACTGTTAAATTAGTTTGTTTTTGGGCCAGGCATGGTGGCTCACGCCTGTAATCCAAGCACTTTGGAGGCCAAGGCGGGCAGATCACCTGAGGTTGGGAGTTCAAGACCAGCCTGACCAACATGGTGAAACCCTGTCTTAAAAAATAATAATAATAAATAAATAAATAAATTAGTTTGTTTTTTTCATAGCCGAGGTTTTTTTCCTTATTCTTGCAATGTATTGGGGTGGATAAATTACCAAACTATAAAACATACCATCTCTAGCACAGCATGGCTGTCTCTACCAGGCTTGGAATTTACCTGTACATTAGGCACTCTTTTGGAAAGTGAAATTGAGCTTCTGTTTCAGGAGCTGTCATTGACAGGCCCACAGAAGAGGGCAAGGAAGTGTGGGATTATGTGACTGTCCGCAAGGATGCCTACATGTTCTGGTGGCTCTATTATGCCAGCAACCCCTGCAAGAACTTCTCAGAACTGCCCCTGGTCATGTGGCTTCAGGTAAAGTAGTTTCCCAGCCTGGCCTGAGGTTGAGGCCAAGTCTCCCCTATGTGGCTCTTTGCTTGCTTTTTGGGCTCATGTCTCAGCAGTGAAGGGCAGATTTGGTCCAGCAGTGTGGCCTGGGGGTTCGGGGTGCTTCTGAGGCAGGCTGAGGTGATGGTATAGCCAAGAAGGCTAAATCAGAGGGCGAGGGGGTTCTATCCTTTTTCCAGAGCCTCTTTATATTTCCAGATGATTGCAGGAAGGCTTACTGAAAACTCTTCGTGACACATTTGATTGTATAGTGATAGAAAGTGTTGTGAGGCTGGGCACAGTGGCTCACACCTGTAATCCCACCACTTTGGGAGGCCGAGGCAGGTGGATCACATGAGGCCAGGAGTTCGAGACCAGCCTGGCCAACATGGCGAAACCCTGTCTCTACTAAAAATATTTAATACACAAATTAGCCAGGTGTAGTAGCACATACCTATAATCCCAGGTGGTTGAGACACAAGAATTATTTGGACCTGAGAGGCAGAGGTAGCAGTGAGCTGAGATTGTACCACTGTACTCCAGCCTAGGTGACAGAGCAAACCCTATCTCAAAATAACAACAAAAAAGAAAGTGTTATGGAAGACTCCAAAGCAAAGACCTGAGCTTCCCTG